ATCTCAAAAGGGGCGCACAATCCGCCTTGTTTTCTCTTCCTGAAGCTTCTCTGAAACGTGAGCAGTTTCCAGAGCACACGTCTGCGGTCAGTTGTTGAATTTTCCCGGCTATCTGTGTTAATGTCCAGAGCTTTCATATCGCGCTTGGAAACATCTTTATAGCGCCGCTGGTGTCGGCCAACAGATCTCTTGCCAGAGACCAGTTCGCCCTACAGGATGTCATTTGGCATACGCCCATCCTCCATCCGATGCACATGGCCAAGTCAACGCGGTCTAGGTTGTCTGAGCATCGTGTGCACAATGAAGAAGCCAACGTGTGCAAAAACTCGCAGGGCGATATATAATTTGAAGCTCCATTGATGCCGAAGATGAGTCAAAGGTAAAGTATTGAGACCAGAAAACTGCATGCAAATAACGCGTTATTGGTTTTGTTTGCCGGAAGATTAGCTGAAATGTTCTTAGCCTGACCATGGTACACTTCAAAAAAAGAAAATCTGATGCTTGTCATTTGTATAGATTTTGGGAATTGGACCGACCCGATAACACTTCAGTAACGTTCGTAAGCTTCATTAAAACAGTAAAACGATCAATTACGAGCGTCTATATAAAAGTTCACTTATATGGAATTAATAAACATTAAATACTTAAAATACGTCGGCGTGTGAATCAGGGAAGACAAATTTAGTATTGGAGAAAAAATAAATTTCACATAAAATAAACTAGAGGTTGTGTCGCCTAACGCTTCAAATTGCTATATATAAAATAAAATAAAATCTGAAAAACATTAAAAGCATGAACCTAAAAACTATTCTTAAATAGGCTCGTTAGGTCGGGATTTTCTTGTCATCTATGGTACTAGACGCATTCAGAAAAATCTAAATTATCCACTTAACAAAACCGCTAGAAAGACAAATGGCGAAAATTAACTTTGAGCGTGTAAAACGCTTGTGTTCGGGCAATGACCATTCTTCTTTGAAAATTGTTGTTGTGGTGTCCTCCCTCTAATGACTCTGTTGTGGACTCTTCCACTTGCTATAAAATTGCTAGGAAGGTGATCCTCCGGTGAATATCACTATAGATTGAACGCTGGTCAACCGACACACATTCCCAAGTCTTATCTCATTCTCGTCGCCAAGATGTTGTAACAAAGTATATGGTTAAGAAATAACAGAAAAAGAGTTTGCAGATAAATCGTATATTGAACAGAAGAGTATTACACGACTAGGCGGATTCAAAGGTTATATTTTTGTCCGAGCCTACGGGCTCGGGAAAATCACGTTAAACCCGGACTTGTGCCACATGCAACCCTCGTGGGGCTAGATACCGAATGAATGGTGTAACGAGCACCAGGTCATGGCTGTTGAACTCTCTGCTTTGGCAGAGAGGAACCCGGACGAAGCTTTGCCAAAGAGCAAAGTTTCGTCCGGAGAGGTAGACAGGCCCTGAACCCGTCTTTTTTGGCCGAGCCTACGGGCTCGGAGAAACCCACATTAAACTCGACCTTGTGCCACATTCAGTCCTCGTGGGGGATCGTTAAATATTGTTGACGAGTTGACTACTGTACTTTGCCGTCAGACGGACGTGCAACACTTTTGTATTCGTTCTTTTTGTTAATAATACGTTTTCACTAAATTGCTGAGTTCGACTTTTCTTTCGGACCTATTCTGGGTCCACAACAATTAGACATCAAGGTAATTCCTACTTATGCGTTTCCTCTATGGTCACGAGGTCTGTATAATTCAATAATGGGATCACCTGTGTTTGCGCACTGGCGATCTATGTTCAAACTCAAGTGTCGGCAGCGACACTTTATTCCTATATAACAGATTTTATAAATTTCAAAAGAAAACGATACTGGCAGCTCGGTTAAGAGCTGCTAAATGTTTCCTTATTGGGAAACGGCTAATATTACCATAACCATTTATTAGGATTTTTATCGCTCTGCCTGCAAATAGGGGTTTATGTGCGAGACGCTATTTCTAAATATCGATCTACTTTAAGCGTTTTACGCGAGTGTGAATATTACAAAGAGTGGTAGACAAGCTATCTTATCAATCAGCAAAGAAATATGATACCTTGTATGGCAAATCATGTGGCCGTGATGTTTTTCTTTTCATTTAAAAAAAAGCAAAACAAAAAATAGCTTCTTTTATGTCTAGCAGCAGTGAAGTAACACTTCGATTCAGACAGCATGCTGATAAGAGTTGATGGTCATATTTCATTCAAACAGAGTCCACTTGAACTTCTTCTCTACACACAATCATTTTTTTCCATTATTTTTAGTCATGACTAAACTGCTTATTTAAATCTAAGAGATTTTAACTCTAGGTAGATAGATAGGGAGATAGACAGGCAGACAGAGGGACAAATATATATATATATATATATATATATATATATATATATATATATATATATATATATAGTTAGTTAGTTTATGAAAAACTAGGTAATCCGTATGAGTAAACTTAAGGAGGATAAAATCCAGAGAGCACAATGT